GCACGCCCAAATTGGATACTATTTCTTGGAATTCAATATTTTCTGGTTTTTTTTTGGATTCATCTGTTTTGTTAATTATTACTGCTGGCGAAATTATGCACATGTTTTTTTTAAATTGAAAAATCAATTATCCACTCTTTTCTTCTCATAATCTCAACAAAAAACTATTAACGACGACAAATCCATATGGCATGTTTGTTTATTTTTTGTATATATTTAGGATCAAGAACTTCACCATAATATTTTCGATTTTGATTGGCCTTAAACATTCATCGTCAACGACGACAATCAAATCGATTCAATTGCTTATGTCATGATTGCCAATCATCGATTATTGAAATTCTATTTTCGCGAAACCAAAAAAAAAAATTGTCCAATTTCGTCATCATCATGTGATAAAGATTAATTAAACAATATTGAAACTGTCAAATCTAGTTAACAATACTCATCATAATCATCATCGAATTTTTTGATACCAAAAAAAAGCCAAACTGAATACTCGCCATTTTATATTATCATTTTTTTAGAAATTTTTAACTGTTTTAAAAATGGATTTACAAGGAAAAGAAATACGACGTGCTACACGTGCTGTTAAATGTGTTGTTGTTGGTGATGGTACAGTTGGAAAAACCTGTATGCTTATTTCATTTACGGTAATTATTATTTTGATAATGAAAAAATTTATTCAATTGATTGATCGGTGTTTTTTTTTTGGAAATTTGATCACCAAAAAAACAAAAAGAACATCACCGGAAAAGGCAAAGAATTTGCAAGGAAAAATGGGCAATTCAAAAATCCTGTGTTTAGTGATTTTTTTATTGAATGATTCGGGAATGATAAAATTATCATCTTTTTTTCCCCCAAAAAAGGAAAACAAGAATATTGTTGGTCATCTTAATTAGGAAAAAAAATCAAAAAAGAAATCATTGCAACCCAGCATTTTTTAACATGTCGGCCTATAAGTTCCATGCATTATATGCATGCATTGAGCATGGATCATCAGACATGTACAAGATTTACACACCGATCGAATTAGATGATGATATTATGATGATGATGAAAACCTAATAGAATGATTAGTCACAATGACAATACGTTTCTTGATCAATCAAAACACAGAATATACATGACTTATGAAAACAACAAGGTGTTTGGCGTTTTTTTTAATATCGAAAAATCTTTTCAAGAAGAAAAAACATATATTCAATAATGATTATGATTTACAGAAACAAAAATTTTATCTTTGATCAAAAATAAAAATGAATGAATCTTTGTTTTTTTGAAATGAATTGAACAGGGATTTGTCACATTAATTTCGAATGATTATTGTGACTATAACCATTGTGTACGTTGGTATACCGACGTCCATCTTTTGTGTGAGCAAAACTAAAATATCACACACACACACACCATATATTCCACTCACCCTCACTCCCGTTTTTCACATAGCACACAAAAACACTCGGCTTTTTTTTTTTAATAGCTTGACTCGCGATAGTCGTCATCGCATTCGATGTGAAGTTTTTTTTATTCATTTCATTTTCATTTTCATTATTTTTTTCCGAATCGAAAAAAAAAAAAATTTTTTTCATCAAATTAAAAATTTCAATTTTTTTCATTTTCAAATTTATTTATTGAATTTGTTTTTGCACCATATCGTTTATTTATTTATATTTATAATCGAATCCTAATCAAATATTCGATTGTTTTACAAACAAACAAGAAAAAAAATCTGGGTTCGGTATTTCATTAATTAAGTGTTTGTGTGAGCCGCATCAATGTGTTTTTTTTTCTGCTCCATCATCAATTACCATTACATTTTCATTTGTAATCATATATTTTTCCATCAACAAAAACATCAACAACATGAATTAAAATGATGATATAATTTTTATTTATTTATTTGTTCTTCGTTGATTTAAAGTGTGCTTTTTTTCAAAATTCTTTCAACAACCCAATAAAAATAAAACATTCACACCTATACCTGTTCAAGATTTTGTTTTGTTATTTTTGGCTGAAAAATTCCAATGCATCATATTAACGATTCTTTAATGAAAACAATCATCATTTGCAAAGGTATTTTTTTGGTGTTGATTTTTTTAAATTGAAAAATTACTAAATTATTTTTTCTCTCTCTTTTCAATTGCCCTTCAAATACCTAAATAGTCGCAGCCGTCGAAATTTTTTCTCCCAGAAGTTAATTAATTTTTTAATGTCATTAAAAGTGAGATTTTTTTCCGATCTTTTTTCATTTATTTAAAAAAAAAAATCAAATGTTTTCTGAATGAAATAATTTAAAAATTTTTCTTTAAATAAAAAACCCACCAAAACAACAACGAAAAACAAATAGCTGAAAAAAATTACGGTCCCATCTTATATAGGATTTTTCTTCAATTTGTCAAAGTGTTCGATTCGAACACTTTGCCATCATCAACATCATCACCATCGCCGTAATAGTTTATATTCATTATCATCATTATTATTGTTAAAATTTCATCATTATCATCAGCATCAACAACAACAGCATCTTAATTATCATTTTAATCATCATCAACGGATAAAATTTTTTATCAATAATCATCATTATCATCATTATAATAAACAGATAAAATTTTATTGTTCAAATCAAAAAAATTATTTAAAAGAACAATTGGAACAATTAAGAAATAATAATAATTTGAATAAAGATAACGAAGACGAGGATCAAGATCAAGATAGTAAACAGACCATTCTACATCATTCATCATCAACTGTTAATAATAATAATAATAATAATAATAACGATAATCTAAATAAAAAATTGAAAAAAATGCCTTTACCATCAAGAGCACGTGTTTATGCTGATGTTAATCTACATCGGCCACGTGAATATTGGGATTATGAAACACATCAGGTTGAATGGTCGGAACAAGATGATTATCAATTAGTTAGAAAATTAGGCCGTGGAAAATATAGTGAAGTTTTTGAAGCAATCAATGTTGCAAATAATGGCCGTTGTGTTGTTAAAATATTAAAGGTAAATTTGAATTGAAGAAAAAATATAAAAAAAAACTTTAAAAATTATTATTATTTTGTTTGTATAGCCGGTAAAAAAGAAGAAAATTAAACGTGAGATAAAAATTTTGGAAAATTTACGTGATGGTCCAAATATTATTACATTAAAAGCTGTCGTTAAAGATACATTGGTATGGATTATTTGTTTGTAATTTAATTGAAAATATTTTTTCATTATTGTTTTTTTTAAATCTAGTCTCGAACACCATCATTAATATTTGAATATGTTGACAATACTGATTTTAAACAATTATATCAAACATTGACGCCTTATGATATTCGTTATTATTTGTATGAATTGTTGAAAGCACTTGATTATAGTCATAGTATGGGTATAATGCATCGTGATGTTAAGCCACATAATGTTATGATTGATCATTCAAGTCGAAAGGTTTGTTTTGTTTTGTTTTGTTGTTTTGTGGAATTGATTTCTATTTTTTTCAAAAATTTATTTCCAAACAAAAACAAAAAGCTTCGTCTTATCGATTGGGGTTTAGCCGAATTTTATCATCCTGGTCAAGAATATAATGTACGTGTTGCATCACGTTATTTTAAAGGACCAGAATTATTGGTCGATTATCAGATGTATGATTATTCATTGGATATGTGGAGTTTAGGATGTATGCTTGCATCGATGATATTCCGAAAGGAACCATTCTTTCATGGTCATGATAATTATGATCAATTAGTTCGTATAGCTAAAGTATTGGGTACAGAAGAATTATATGAATATTTAAATAAATATCAAATCGAATTAGATTCAAGATTTGATAATATACTTGGACGGTAAGTTTTTTGTTAATCAATTTAAAAAGATAATTATAAAAAATACCATTTTTTTATTCTTTTTACAAAATACATATAGACATTCGAGAAAAAGATGGGAAAAATTTATAAATAGAGAAAATTCACATCTTGTCGAAAGTGATGCTATCGATTTTCTGGATAAATTATTACGTTATGATCATGCTGAACGTTTAACAGCTCGTGAAGCAATGGAACATCCATATTTTTGTATGTAATCATCATAAAATGATGATAAAGATTGATAATTTATAATGAATTTTATTTTATATTTATCCATTTCCATCATCTATAGATCCGGTTTCCAAAGAGCAAGCACCTAATAATTATCATATTGATTTAAGAATTTCATCATCGAATGCAGCATCAGCAGCTGCATCAACATCGAATGCATCGGTATCCGGTGCTATTAGTGGAGGCGGCAGTACTGGTGGTCCATTACAAGTCACTAATTCTGGTGATATTGCTCAACCAACTGTTACTTAAATAATAATTCAAATAAAATGAAAAAACAGCAACAACAAACGAACGAACATAATCCAGACAAATCTCACTCTCTCTCTTTTCTTTTTTTCAAAATATTTTTTTTCTTGTATACTCACATACACACACACCTACACAAATGTTTGATGAATACATTTTATATACATACACACAAATTCTTGATTTAAAACAAAACAAAAAAATACAAGAACCAGAATCCACATGAATTCTTTTTTTTATTTAAAAAAATATTATACATAAAAAATACACATACATCATTGGCACATCCCCTACACCACCCACCACCCACTCATGATTTTTCAAATAGAAAAAAAAATGATGATGTAAATGATAACAATTAATGGAAACGATCATTTCAACAAAAAAAAATTGTTAGTTTAAAAAAAATTCCAAATTTTTCAAAGTTTTTTGCATCATTCTCTTTCTTTACTTTCATCTAAAACCTATGGAGATTTTGTGTGTTTGTTTTCGTTTCGTTTCGTTTCGTTCCGTTTTGTTTTCATTTTTTTTTTCATCAAGAAAAATAACAAAAATTAATTTGAAAAAACTCTCTTTTTTTCTAAAATTTCCTCTCACCACCATAATTTCTCAGATTACTTTCTTCCTTCCTTTTCCCCCCATCTTTTTTCCCTTTTTTTGTGTTCGGGCAAATTTGATACCATACACCATTTATTATATTTGATTTCATTTGAGCATTTATATATAAATATAAAATATAAATTGAATGTCTGAATTGTTTTGTTTTTCTGATTGACTCTCTCTTATTTCATTCAAAAAATCATCTTTTTATATCACCCCTAATAACTCACCGTCAAAACAAAACAAAAACAAAACAAAATGTAATATTTTCTTTCTCATCACTTCCTTCTCTCTCTTTTTTCATTTGATCGGCATGAAACAAAACAAAACAAAACAACAAAACAAAAATCAAATAAATGTTTTAATTTGCATATATAAAACAATATAGATAAATAACTTAAAAATTAAAAAAAAAATATTTAAAATTTAAAATTAAATCAATCAATAAATTCTTTGTAATTCAGTGTTTGTAATTTTTTTTTTTTTTTGAGAGAAAAAACATTCGAATTTTAAAACTACGCGACCTCTGCCGGTGATTTTTTTTTTTAGCCCGGCTGAGTTTTTTTTTTTCATTGCCAACTGTATTATCATCACGACCATCATTGATCGAGTTTATTTTTTTGGATTTAATTTTTTGTTGTTTTTTTAAAAAGTAAATTTTGTCTCTTGAAGAAAATTGTCAACGCCTAAATAACAGGCAAACAATTTTTTTTTGTGGTGGCCATTTGAATATTATTTTTTTTTTGTTTCAAATTTTAATCAATCAAAAATGGTCATATCATCAACAACAATATCAACATCATCCGCATCTGTATCATCACCTGGACAATTTATACCTTGTACAACAACAACAACGGTAACAAGTACAACAACATCATCATCATCAACTTTAACTGGAAATATATCTACATCCGTAACAACGATCGGTGGTGTTAGCGGTGGTGGAACTTCTGGAAATTGTTCCGATGTTGTTGTTGATGTTGTATTTGTAATTGAAGCAACAGCACATATCAGTCCATATGTAGAAAGTTTAAAAACTAATTATATTATTCCAACTATTGAGTATGTCTTGCTATTAATTATTTAATTTTTATAAAAAAAAAATCATTAATTTTTTTCCGGAAAAAAATCATTAATTAATTAGATATTTCAATGGAATCAATGGTGGTTGTAATGATGATCGTTTTGGTGATTTTGGTGGCCATTTAAATGTTAGTTTTGGTTTTTTTATAAATTCACAATTAATGTTTATATTTTCGTTTTTTTCAATTACAAACAGTATTCATCATCAACTTTATACGGTTTGGTTACATTCATGTCGATGGATTGTCGACCTGATTCGGCATCATTTTGTTATGCACCTACTTCGAATTCAAATACATTTTTACAATATTTAGAAAAAATACAGTATGTATTTTGGAAATTTTGATTTCAAAAATATTTATAAATTTTTTTTCAGATTTATTGGCGGTGCTGGTGATTCATCCAGTCATATTGCTGAAGGTCTTTGTACGGCAATCAGTTTATTTGATGATTGTCAAAATCTTCGTGATAAATGTTTGAAAGAACAATTTAAATATGATTCAAATGGTGGTGGTGGTGGTGGTGTTGATGGTGGCCAACAATCACCGGCACCAGTGAATAGTAAAAAATATCTAATTCTTATTTGTAATTCAACACCATACATGGAACCTGTATATGAAAGTCCTGTTTATTGTGGCTATACTATTGATGAATTAATGAATATTATGATCGAAAAGGGTATTCATTTTAGTGTATTTTCACCACGTAAAATGAAATTTTTATATAAATTATTTGAAAATGGTGGTGGAAAATTATCTACAGCATTGACAAAAAATTATGCTAAAGATCGACGGCATTTAGTTCTATTGAATGGATTTCAATTGCAAGAAAAAGATATTAGTCCCATGTCACAACCACTACCAAGTCAGCCGGCAGTAATTGAACAGCAACAACAACAAGATAAATGTCAACCGCAACAACAAATTTCACAAGGAATTAAACGACCATTATCTCCATCAACTCATCAACCAGTTTCAGCATCACAGCCTCCTCATTCAGCACTTCTAGGTCCACAACAATCACAACCATCAATGTTAACGAATCCAAATCAATTAATGTCTCTCAATCGTCCCCAAATAGAACAACAAAATGTACAACAACAACAATCAAATAATTTAGTCCAACAATTTGGACAACAACAACAACCTCAACAGCAACCGCAGCAACAACAGCAACTTGGAATTCGACAAGTTGGATCACCATCGATTGGTCATTGGAATAATGGTGCGGCCAAACAGGTACCATCACCTGTATCACAAATGTCGGTTCGAACGCAATTACCGCAATCAGTACGACAACGTGTACCAACTCCCCAACCAACAACTGCTAATCAAATTTCGATGAATCAACAGCAACAAACTTCTCAACAAACACAATTACCTGGACTAGTTCCACAACAACATCAAAATGTACGACCAATGAATGTTCAACAACAGCAACAATCACAGACAATGGTTAGACCTGTTTCAAATAATGGTAATATGCGTCCACAGCCATCACCATTTTCACAGGCTGTACCATCACCATCACAGCCACAACAATCACCAATGATGAGAGGAACGGCAGTTATGTCACCAATGAATCCGGTACAATCACCAATGTCACAATCACAACCTTCTCAACAACAACAATTCATTCAGCAACAATCTCAAATGAATCAAATGTCTCATCTTCATCCGCAACAACAACAACAACAGCAACCTGGACAACAACAAATGCAGCAGCAACAACAACAACAACAAGTTACAATGAATACGGCCGTATCACAAGGACAAATGATGAACATTCCCGGTACAATGTCAACAATGATGAGTCAAAATCATCAACGTACACGTATTTGGAATGGTGTGATCGAATATACGGATAAGGCACAATCGTTAGCTAATCCACAATCAAAAATTAGCTATCCATTAGAATGTCAAATTACTTATCAGCCAAATAATAATGAACCGGAATTCAAAGCAGATAAATGGCCTGAAAAATTGATTTTATGTACAGTGCCAAAAACATTAATGAATCGTTTGTCGCCAATATTTAAAAATAATTCCTATCAGGTTCATTTTCATTTTCCAAATGAATCACAAGGTTTACAATTACTTTGTAAAGCTATGGGTTCGATGGTATGTCCTTAAAGTTGTCAATCAGAATTTTTTTTGTTACGATTTTTTTTCATCATCATAGGTTGGTTGTATACAATTGACAACTCCAGCTAACATACGTATAATTATCGTATTCTATTTGCCTGATAAAAAGTAAAATATTATTATGACACACGTTATAAGTTGTTATCTAAAGTTTAATATTTTCAATAACAGATTATTCCTTGGTTTTATTCCGCATGATCAAGAGGAATTTATGAATTCAATGAAACAATTAGTCGAAACACATAAAAAAGAACAAAATGTTAAACAAAAAATGGTAAGGAATTTAAATTAATTGTTTTGTCCGTTGTTTATCTGATTTATTATTATTATAGATAATGCAAATGCAACAACAGCATCAACAACAACAAAATTCCAATAATAGTGGCGGTGGACCATCAACATTAATGTCAAATCAACAAATTCAACAACCATCAAATCAACAGCTTGTTCATCAGATGAATACCGGACCGAATGGTAATCAAATCGTACAGATTATCCATCAACAAGGTCAACATCATCAACAGCATGTTGGTCAACAGCAACAACAACAACAACAACCAACCACAATGATTCAAACCGGAAATAATTCAAACAATCAAATGTTTCAGGTAAAAACAAATAAACTAATTAATTTCAAATTTAAATTCTTTATTTAAAAAATAGGTACAAATACCTTCAATGAATAATAATCAATTGCAGCAACAACAACAGCAACCACAACAACAACAAATGACATCAATGGCATCAAATATATTACCATCGAATGTACAGATGATGAATACACAATCAACAATGGCTAATGTTAATAAAAATTTTCAGATGGCCAATCCAAACGTAACAATGGTTACTACTAGTACCGGTTGTATACCCGTTTCGATTAATTCATTCGTACAAGTTCAATCGGGACCATCAAACATTCAACAAGCACAACAACAACAACAACAACAATTTCAAATAAATCAACAACAACAACAATCAAATCCTATGAATACTGGAACAGCTACAATGGTTACCATACAACAACAACCTAATAACAACAATAATAATCAAAATATTCAACAGGCTATCCAACAACAACAACAATCACAGAATGTAGCCGGTGTACGTCATCATCTTCAACAACAAATACAACAAAAACAACAGCAGCATATTCAATTACAACAATTACAGCATCAAGCTGGAAATATCAATCTTCAACAACAGCAACAACATATGAATAATAATAATAATAATGTACCAGTTTCAGCTGTTGCAACACCAGCAACTCAAACACAATTACGTTATCTTCTTCAACAGCAGCATCAACAACAACAACAACAAATGCGTACAATGAATCCGGCTACACAACAACGATTAAATATACAAACACAACAAAATCTTCAACCGCAACAACAACAACAGATTATGCTCCAACAACAACAATTACGATTTCAACAGCAGCAGCAACAACAACAAACGATTCCACAAAATTCTATACAAATCCAAAATCAACAGGTTGTTCCACAACAACAACAGCAGCAAACTAATTCTCAACAACAACGACAAGCTGGAAATTATTTTGGTGATCAACTTTATTGATCTTATTATTAGAATATTTTTTTTGTTAATTACGATATAATTAATATTATGACAAAATAAATTTTTTATCATTTATGATTCTTAAATTCAAATCGATAATATCATCTAGTGACATCTAGCGAATCTGTCCCTAACTTTGTGTTTATTATTATTTTGATAAATATTCTTTATCAAACAAAACAAATCCGAATAGAAATGATAATCAACAATGATAATTGATTTTATTTTGATTTAAACATCAATATCGATATTGTTCGTTGTTTTAAGTGAAAAATAATTTTTCATTTTTTTCAAAATTATGAATACAATTCATTGTTTCAATGTAGAAAAACCTTAGGAATTGAAAATTTTCAGAGTTTTTTTTCTGTTTATTTGCTCAAGAAAAATTTACTAAAATTATTTCCCAAAAAACCGAATTAACAATGAATTCAACACGACATTATGGACGATTATTTCATCTTTCGAGAAATATTAATTATTCACAACAACAACAACAACGATCGATAGCTATTCAAAGAAATAATTGCTGTCGACATACAATAACATTGGATAATATAAATGATAATGTTAAACGATTAGAATATGCTGTACGTGGTCCATTAGTAATACGTGCTGGTGTGATTGAAAATGAATTAAGACAATCATCAAATCATCATACAAAACCATTTAATGAAGTAATACGTGCAAATATTGGTGATTGTCATGCAATGGGTCAAAGACCATTAACATTTTTACGACAAGTACTTGCATGTGCTTCGGATGATAGTCTTTTAAATTATCCAAATTATCCGGATGATGTTAAAGAACGAACAAGATTAATATTAAAATATTGTGGTGGACAATCGGTTGGTGCTTATTCTGATTCGACTGGTGTTGAAATTATACGAAAACATTGTGCCGAATATATTAGTAATCGTGATGGTATTGAATCTGAATGGCGTGATATTGTATTGACTACTGGTGCTAGTGAAGGTATTCGTTCAGTATTGGCTTTAATCAATACAATTTCAACGGATACATTACCATCAGGTGTTATGATACCTATACCACAATATCCACTTTATTCAGCCACAATAACCGAATATGGAATGTATCCAATTAATTATTATCTTGATGAAGGTTAGATTTGATTTGTTTTATGATTGATGATTAAGTAATTAATTTTATAATCAAATTTATTATAATTAAATTAATTAGATAATCAATGGTCATTGAATATTGATGAATTGAAACGTTCATTGAATGAAGCCAAAGGAAAATGTAAACCAAAAGCAATTGTCGTTATTAATCCGGGTAATCCAACTGGTTCGGTATTGACTAAAAAAAATATCGAAGATATTATACATTTTGCAAAGGAAAATAAAATTCTAATCATTGCCGATGAAGTTTATCAACATAATATTTGGGATGGTGAATTTTTTTCATTCAAAAAAATTCTCAATGAATTAAATGAAGATATTGAATTAGCATCAGTAATGTCAGCATCAAAAGGCTATATGGGTGAATGTGGATTGCGAGGTTGGTTTTTTTTGACATATAACATTTATTTACACCATGGTATACCATCATTTATTATTCATTTAAAATGTTTCATTTTTTTTCACAGGTGGTTATTGTGAATTGGTAAATTTTGATCAATCAGTTAAGGCAATGTTTTACAAAATGTTATCCGCTCGTCTTTGTTCATCAATACTTGGACAGATTGCATTAGATTGTATTGTAAAACCACCGGATGTTAATGGTGAATCATATGAACAATATCAACGTGAAAAATCCGATGTATTAGAATCATTAAAATATCGTGCTAAATTAGTTGCCGATACATTCAATGAAATACCTGGTATAAAATCGAATAAAGTAGCTGGAGCAATGTATGCATTTCCACAAATAGATTTACCGAAAAAAGCACAAGAAAAAGCTGCCGAACTTGGACAAAAACCGGATTTTTTCTACGCAATGAATCTTCTTGAAACAACCGGTATATGTGTTGTACCTGGGTCCGGTTTTGGACAGATACCCGGTACATACCATTTTCGAACAACAATTTTACCACAAAATGAAAAACTTGAAACAATGATGAAAAAATTTAAAGAATTTCATCAAAATTTTATGAAGCAATATTCCTGAAAATATTAGTGTATTCGTTATCTTTGAACAAACATTTTGAGAAAAGTTTGTTCAGTGAATTTTTTTAGATTTTTTGTTTGAATTTTTGTAATTTTTATTCATCCACTATTTAAAATCGATTGTTTATCTATCTATATAAAAATACAAATTGAAAATCATTGATATGATAATCTGTAAATTGATTAGTACTAATAATTTAATACCTGATCAATTAGTTGAATCAGGTCAAACATTTATTATTGGCCGTAATCGACAATGTCGAATTAAGAATCTAAATTGTTCAAGAAATTTTTGTAAAATTCAATTATTGAATGAAAAAAAATTATCGGTTGAATATTTAAAAGATGGTCGAATTGTTCGAATGAAATCTGGTGAATTTCTTAATGGTCCTGGATTTTCATATAAAATTTCTTTGATTAATGATTCAATGAAAAGTGATGCAATGACTGAAGATAAAATTTCCTGGATTGAAATCGAATCTGGTAATGTATTGATTGGTTCAAAATTTGGTGGTGATCGATGTTCTTCGGATAAAATTGCCGGATTTGATTTTGATTTTACATTGGTCAGTACAAAAAGTGCGAAATCATTTCCAATTGATGAAAATGATTGGAAATTATTTGATCAACGATTGCCCGAATACATTCAACAATTAGTCAATGAACAAGGCTATCGTTTTGTTATATTTTCTAATCAATTGGGAATATCGAAAGGTAAAATTACGGTTGATTTTGTTAAAAAACGTTTTGAAAATTCATTAAAAGGAATGCAAGTACCTTGTTTGATAATGATTGCTACAAAAGATGATATTTATCGTAAACCATGTACTGGTCTTTGGGATCATCTTGTACAGTATGTTCAACCAGAAATCGAAATCAATATGCAACAATGTTTTTATGTAGGCGATGCAGCAGGTCGTCCAAAAACGACTACGAAAAAAGCCGATTTCAGTGCATCGGATCTTTTGTTTGCAATGAATATTGGTGTGAATTTTTTAACACCCGAACAATTCATTAATCATATGACCAAATATAAGCAATTCGAATATCAGCAATTGGAAAATAATTCACCAACATTACCGGAAAAATGTTTCAAAGTTGGTAATAATGAAAATGAATCGAATTTTTTGCTTACAAATCGATTAACAGGAGAAAAAATTAATGATCTTCAATCAATATTGCCAACAAATGTTCATTGTATAATATTTTGTGGTATATCTGGTTCGGGAAAGACAACATTTTTTGAAAATTATTTACAACCATTGAATTATGTACATATAAATTATGATCAACTTAAAACCAATCAAAAATGTCAATCATTAGCAAAAAAATCAATGTCCGAACAACGTAATATTGTTATCGATAATACAAATATTGAACGAAATTCTCGACAACAATGGATTAATCTTTGCAAACAAAATGGCTATGAATATCTTATATTCTATTTTGAACTTTCATTAAAACATGTTTTCCACAATAATAAATTTCGACAAATAACCGGAATTCATAAATCCGTACCGGATGTTGTCATCTATACACAGAATAAAAAATTCGAATCAATTAATAATGATGAATGTCAACAACAATTTACCATTAATTTTAATCCAAAATTCACTGAATCAAATCACCAAAAATTATATTCTTTGTATTTAATTGAAAAATGAAATATGAATTCAATATTGATCGAATGTTTAAACAAAAATGAAATAAAAAGAATTTTTACGCCATCTTGTATAGAGAATTCGAACAATATGTTTTTTTTTTTTAATTTTGGAGAATAAATAAAAAACTAGAGGGCGTTACTATTGGATTTTTTTTTTTGGCCGCACATATATTGGAAATATGCTCCGCCCACTTCATATATTTATCTATATTCAAACCAGACCAAAATGGCCAAAAAAATTCTTTTGTCTGTATTCGTATAACAAAAAAAAAAAAAAGAAAGAAAGTAGAAGCATAGATCAATGAACGGTATGTTTTGTTTCTGTCCCTCCCTCCCTCTATATTCTAATTGTGGATACATTGTATGCTCACTTGCATTTTAAAAAATGCGAATGTTTGAACAAAAACTTTGATAAAGAAGCACTGATTCTCTCTTTTCATTTTTCAATCGGTTTTATCACATCGTTTATATATGTGTAACGACGATGAGCGAGTAAGCGAACCGATCAAGCTTGCTGTATACAACAAAACAGCAAAACTTGGAAGAAACTAATGGCGACAATACACACACACACAAAACATAAAACCGAAAATGTAAAAAAATTGTAATGTTTTTTTTGCAATAAGAAACGAACGAACGAAAAAAAAAATAGTTTTTTTTTCTGAGGCAAACAGGCAGGCAAATTGAGCGGCGGCTGATTGAATGGAAAAAAAAACTAAGTCCAACTCGCCATTGCTCGTTTTTGTTTGCCATATTTTTCCTATATGTTTTTTTTTCTATGTTGTATATGCCTGGTTCTTTGGCCGTTGTCGTTATCGTCGTCGTCGTTGTTGTTGTTGTTTCACAATAGGATTTCAATAGCACATTTTTTTTTGTTATTTCCAGAATTCTCATTTGCAATTCTCAGTGTGTTGAACATAATAATATAAAATCCGTGTATGAAAATTTTTTTTGATTTGGAATACATATTTTTTCTCTGGATAAAATAAGAAAAAATGTTTTGTCTTTGGCTTCCACCACCATCACTTCGATAATTTGATTGTGTGTTTTCGATGTGTTTAAAAATTTTTGACTTTTTAAATCAAAGAAAAAATTTTGCATGGATTTTCGTTAACCATTTTTAAATCAGTGTGTGTGTCTGTTTGTTGATGTGAATGATCATCATAGTTTGTGACCAGCGAAAAAACTAACAAAAAATTCAATTAAATTTTTTTTTTTTGCTAAATCAAACATAATTCTTGTAAATTCATTCGATTCTGTTTCAAAGTGGTTGGTTTATTTCGGTAATTTTGTTTTATCGTTATTTGTTTTGTCGTTTTGTTCAGTTTTGTTTGCTGTCATCATTCGTGCATCGTTTTCATTTACAATTTCGACATTCGAAAAAACAATTATTACAGTATTGACGATCAATAATTTTCAACAAAAGTAAGTGTTAAATTGGTTAATTTGATTGAAAAATAATCCTATTTTTTGGTTTGTTTTTTTGGATATTCGAAACATAGGAAAATCAAAATATTTTATCGACAATCATTAGCCTTTTCTAAATATTTATGATGGCCAATTCATCATCGGCTGATGAATCGAATGATGATCAAAAACAACAACAATCACATAATGATTCACGTAATGGTAATGGAAAATATGATTCCTATGATGATGATGATAATGACAATAGTCAAGATTATAATAATGATGATGATGATTATCAATCACAAATAAAATCCGAACCTGATGATGATTCAATTGAAAGGTTGATCAATAATAATAATAATACCCGTAGCAGCAGTAATAATAATAATAATTCAACAATGAATAATTCAAAATATAAAGAAGAAAGTGATGATGATGATAATTATAATAATAAAATAAAAAAGAAGAAAAAACGTAAACATAATGATTCGGATGAAGATGATTATAAACCGGAAAAAAGTAAAACAAAAAAATCTAAAAAAGATAAACATTCAAATATTGATGATTCAAAAAAATTAAAAAAACAAATTAAACGTGAATATAGTGATGATGATGGTGGCGAAGGTGTTAATGATCATTCCGATGATTATGATTCGGATTATAAATCATCAACAAAAAAATCAACGAAAAAATCGAAAACAAAACAATTGGATTTAAGTAGTGGTGGTGATAATAAAAAATTAAAAAAAGATAAATCTAAAACATCATCATCATCGAATGATATGAAATTATCGAAAAAAGATGAAAAAAATAAAATAAAAGATAAAAAATCTAAAATTAAAGAAGAATCAAAACCAAATGATAATAATCAAAAAGTTGATAAAAAACGTAAAAAGAAACAAGAAGATGAAGAAGAACATATTTGGAAATGGTGGGAAGAAGAAAGTCCTGGTGAAGGTATTAAATGGAAAACATTAGAACATAATGGCCCAGTATTTCCACCTGATTATGAACCATTACCGAAAAAAATTCGATTCTATTATGATGGTAAACATTTAGAATTATCACCTGAAGCTGAAGAAGTAGCCGGTTTTTATGCAAGAATGTTAGAACATGATTATACATCAAAAGATATATTTAATAAAAATTTTTTCAAAGATTGGCGTAAAACAATGAATGAAAAAGAACGTGAATTAATAATCGATTTGAAAAAATGTAATTTTCATGAATTAAATGAATATTTTAAACAACAATCCGAATTACGTAAACAAATGACAAAGGAAGAAAAATTAGAAATTAAAAAGAAAAATGAAGAAGCTGTTAATAAATATGGTTATTGTATTGTTGATGGTCATAAACAAAAAATTGGTAATTTTCGTATTGAACCACCGGGTTTATTTCGTGGTCGTGGTGAACATCCTAAAATGGGTAAACTGAAAAAACGTGTACAACCGGAAGATATTATTATAAATATTGGTGAAAAAGCTAAAGTACCTGCACCACCGGCCGGTCATAAATGGAAAGAAATAAGACATGATAATACTGTTACATGGTTAGCATCATGGACAGAAAATATAATGGGTAATGTTAAATATATAATGCTAAATCCATCATCCAAATTGAAAAGTATAAAAGATTGGCAAAAATATGAAAAAGCAAGAGAATTGAAAAAATATGTTGATAAAATACGTTCAGATTATCGTAATGATTTTAAATCACGTGAAATGATGCGTAGACAACGTGCTGTTGCATTATATTTTATCGATAAATTAGCCCTTAGAGCGGGTAATGAAAAAGAAGAAGGTGAAACAGCCGATACTGTTGGTTGTTGTTCATTACGTGTTGAACATATTACATTACATGCAGAAAAAGATGGTAAACAATATGTTGTTGATTTTGATTTTCTTGGTAAAGATTCTATACGTTATGTTAATTCGGTTTCGGTGGAAAAACGTGTATTTAAAAATTTAAAACATTTTATTGCTGATAAATTTCCGGGTGATGATCTATTTGATCGTCTTAATACATCAAGTTTAAATAAGTATTTAAATTCTTTGATGGATGGCCTAACGGCAAAAGTATTCCGTACATATAATGCATCAAATACTCTACAAAAACAATTAAATGAATTAACCAAACCTGATATGTCAATGCCGGAAAAATTATTGGCTTATAATCGGGCAAATCGTGCCGTTGCATTACTTTGTAATCATCAAAAATCTATTTCAAAAACACACGATAAACAAATGGAAAATCTTAATAGTAAAATTAAGGATAAAAAAACACAGATTAAAGAACTGAAAAAACAATATAAAGAAACGAAAAAAGAATCGGGTGCAAAAGAAAAATATGAAAAAAAATTACAAACATTAAAAGAACAATTGAAAAGATTGGAAGTTGCTAAAGTTGATAAAGAAGAAAATAAACAAATTGCATTGGGCACTTCAAAATTAAACTATCTTGATCCACGTATCAGTGTTGCATGGTAAGTTTGTTTGTAAATTTTATCAAACTTAACAAAAAATTACTTAATTAATTTCATTCAAACTATATCAGGTGCAAAAAATATGATGTTCCAATCGAAAAAGTTTATAATAAAACACAACGTGATAAATTTCGTTGGGCTATCGAAATGGTTGGTCCTGAATATCAATTCTAATTGCAAAAAAAAAATCAATAATTGGTAAATGATGATAATAATAATGCTGCATATCGTTCAAATGTTCAATATTTTTAGTGTGTGTTTTTTTTCTGTTTGGACAAAACAAAATCATCGAAAGAATTATTTTTATTTCAATCAATTGAGAATCCAATGGAAAAAAAACTATTGATCGCGACCACCTCCTTCGAATATTGATACTAAAAACAAATTATAAATATTGAAAATATAAATATCCGAAAAAAATAGGCTTCATTTAGCACAAACAAACAAATATTTTTTCTTTTATTTTCTTCATCATCTTCCTCAAATCATCAATTCATCATCATCATCATCAGATATTTTCTTTTCCTTTTCTTTCTTTTATAAAAAAATCAATATTTTGATCATCATCATCATAGATTTAATAAAATTTTTTTTTCTAATTAGCATTTTATTCTTCTTAATTGAATTGAATTGAAACATTGATTAAGTAGGCAGGAAATATTTTAAATACACACATCACACACACACACACATAAAATGTATCAAACATTCACTAATAATAATGAAAACAAAAACCATCAAATTTGCTTCATTTGTCTCGCTTTTGAAACAAATACACACTTAAGTTTCTTGAAAACAAACAACAACAACAACAATTCCAAATATCATAAACACGCATATGTTTGATGCACGATATAGGCATTTATGAAAACAAAACAATATTCTATATACACAAAAACAATTCTTCTTCTTCGGTTTTTTTTTCTACGAACAATTTTATTTTATATTTATAATTATAATATATTTGATGAAAAAAGTAACATCGATTTCTTTTTCTTTTGATCCATATTTTAATGATTGAAATCATTGAGCAAAAAGAAGAAAACAAACACAAAACAAAACACAAACAAACAAATAATTCCACTTTGTGAATGATATAAATCTCTATTTTCTTTTCCTTTCTTTTTTTAAAAAATTTTATTTTGATCATCATTATATTGAAATTGATTGATTGATTGATGAAAATATTTTATCATTAACATTCATATTATAATATAAAAAAAAATGTCATCAATTTTTATCAAATTATAATTATAATTATAACAAATGGAAATTAACATTTTATTAAAAAAAAATTAAAATTAAAAAAAATTTTTGTGAAAAACCAAAACGTTCGAATTCGAATGTTTCATTGTAAATTGCACATGCGTCTTCGAAGAATCAAAGAATTCACAGAAAAAAAAGTAAGGTTAGTACTAGCCCGAATAGGTTAGTATTTTGGGTTATTACTAACCCAAATAGGTTAGTACTAATCTACATGGGTTAAAGATATCCCACAATGGTTAGTACTAACCATTATTCTAACCTATTCGGGTTAGTAATAACCCAAAATACTAACCTATTCGGGCTAGTACTCTTCAATTTAGGTTAGTATAAAGGTTAGTAATAACCCAAGATACTAACCTATTCGGGTTAGTACTCTTCAATTTAGGTTAGTGCAATGGTTAGTACTAACCCGAAAAGGTTAGTATCTTAGGTTATTACTATTCCGAATAGGTTAGTATTTTGGGTTATTACTATCCCGAATAGGTTAGAATAAATTGCAATGATTAATTTAGTCCTTAAAACAATATTTTAATTGTTAATTTTTATTTTCATTATCAAGCAATGATAATTGATTAGTTCAGATGATCCAATCACTATTTGATGAGAAATGGGAGTGTGCTAACATCATAGAAAACATCGCTAAGTTAGAAAAAAGCTTAGAAAAAGTGAAGTAATTGATGAAACCAATAAAATCGCTTTTCTGATGAGACATGTTAATGAATATTTTCCTTAGATATTTTGTATTTTTTTAGAATTAAAAAATTCTCGCTGAAATAATTCTCAGTTTTTTGAAACAATATGATCAACTTGCTTGGTTAAAATTTTCAAGTTTTTATTTTCATTTTGCTTGAATTAAATTGGCTGTGTGATGTACGAACAAATATTGATTGATACATTGGAAAATCTTTATAAGATAAATGTGAATTTTATAAGCACTTGCAGAATTTTTTATGGTGAATTTTCCGTTCTCATTGTTTTTTAATTGATTTGNAAATATAAACTAATTTTATTTTTAATTCAATTGATTATTTTAATAAAATCAATTTAATTTTAATTAATATGGGATTTAATTAATTGGAGGAGGGTGAAAAAGAGGAAATAATTAATTGGAGGAGGATGAAAAGGAGGAAAAATATATGCGAGACTATCGATTGTAGATTCGATAGATCGATTAAACAATCGTTGCAACGAAAATTGCCAGGAATCATACAGGGTTAGTACTAACCCGAATAGGTTATGGAATCCTCTGGTTAGTACTAACCCATTTGGGTTATTAAAGGTTATTTTTGATTCCCAACCCAAATGGGTTAGTACTAACCCATCTACTTTTTTTTCTGTGTTGAAGAATTTCAAAAACAAACTAAATTTGGATGGCTATACATTTGGAAATTTAATAAAATAACCCCATGATGCAAATGATTGTTTAGTATTTTCTAGATGTTTTGTTGGACCACGATATACTTTGATGATAAGACTTTTATGTACATCTGGTACTCGATTCATTGCGGCTAATTTTTGTTGTGTTACATTTTCTTTTCGATCATTATTATCATCATCATCATCATTATTATCGATTTGTGGTCGATGATTACTTGAATTAACTGTTGATGATAATTTTTTTCTTGTTGGACGAAATTTACGATGTTTTGATGATAATTTTCGATGATTTTTCATTGATTCATCATTCGAAAGCATATCGTCGTCATCATCATCATAATCATCGTCAGCATCATCGTCAAGATCATCTTTGTTCCGATTATGAGGTCTTTGTTTTTTGATCTGAATTTTTCGATCATCATTATCGTCATCGTTGTCATCATTCTCATTATCATCATCATTATTCCGGTTATCATTTTTCATTGGATTTTGACGTATATGACCGATAGTATGACCATAATCATCGATAATTGTTGTATAGCCATCACCATTTTTAACATCCTCTTCATCATCATCATCATCATCATCATCACGATCAATCGTCAGACAAAGACAATGAATAAAAAAAACCTTAATAAATAGACAACAGGTGAAAAAAAATGTAGATAATGAATGACAAGATAAATGTGACAAAATAAACAAATATTGAAACACAAATTATATACAAACCATAAAGATTAAAAAACGTATCCATTGGTTTATCATTGTTATCATCGATCATTGTCTACAAATCTTATGAAAGCTGTATTATTTTTTGAAAAAGAAAACAAAAGAAAAATCATTGAATGAATGAATGAACGGTGAAATATAACATTGTGAATTGTCTAAATTTAGTCATCAACATCATTGATTATTACACCCAGGTTATGGTTGATTGATTTTCGATGTCATCGAGCAATAAACAATATACCTGAAGCTATATATATGTTTTGAAATTAAAGTTTGAATGATGAAAAAATAAGAAAAATATTCGGACCCAAAATGAAAAACAAAATCAATTTTTTTTTTCGTTAATAAAAATTCATTTCCGTATTTTAAATTATGGCTATATCCACATGAATGATTCTACCCAAATGATGATTTGTGTTGAACATTTGTACTCAAAACATTCCAATCATATATTTTTTTTTTTTTTTTTTGAAAAAAATCATCTTTTTCACAATACCGGGAAAATACGCACAACAAAAAAGGAAAATGTTTCAACATGGTTTGATGATATTAAATTATCGTCCAAAAACGGCCAAATCATTTCTTACTCATGTCGGTTCCTATCTACGATTAGCTAGTGATAAAATTTCCAAAACATTGTATGTATCTTTGGCGTTGAATGATAATAATGTTATTGATTGCCGTAATGATCTGCAGAAAATTGTACCAGCTATCTATGTTGAAGCTCATCGACGTGCACCATTACTTGATGTTCGTGTTCTTCATCATAGTTATTATCGTAACGAAATGATCAGCAAGAAACGATCGCTACAATTTAGACCACAAATATTATTCACTAATGAACAATGGAAAGATGATTTACTTCGACAATATCTTAGTAAATTAAATCTAGCCGATGATCATTCAAACATGTCAATTGTTTCATTATCATCAAATCATTCATCGATATCGGATCCTGTCAATCATGAATCATCCCTTATTTCGGATCAAGTTTATGATAATGTTTGCATCGGTGGTACTTTTGATAATCTTCATAATGGACATAAAATATTATTGTCAACTGCTCAATTGAAATGTAATCGATCATTGACAATAGGTGTGACTAATGAACAGATGTTAACGACAAAAATTTTACCTGAATTAATTGAAAGCTGTGAAAAACGTATACATTCATTGAATCTATATCTGAATGATGTTGATCCATATATTCATTATAATGTCTGTGAAATTTCTGATCCATTTGGACCGGCTATTGTTGATCCAACATTAGAGGCAATAATTGTTAGCGAAGAAACTATTCGTGGTGGCGAAAAAATTAACGAAATTCGTATATCCAAAGGAATGAAACCGTTAAAAATCGATGTGATAAAATTATTACAAGATGATCATAAAGAAAGTGGTGTTGAAGAGAATAAAGTTTCTTCATCTTCTTTGCGTATTCGTAAATTAGGTACATTGCTCAAACCACCGGAACCACGACCAAATTTACCCGATAAACCATATCTTATTGGTTTGACCGGTATGATTGCTAGTGGAAAATCATCAATTGCAAAAAAATTGGAAACATTAGGCGCCGGTATAATCAATGTTGATAAATTGGCTCATAAAACATATCAAAGTTCGGATATGCCAGCTTATAAAAAAATTGTCGAAACATTTGGCAAAGATATTCTGGATGATAATGGTCAAATTAATAGGATTAAATTGGGAAAAATCGTATTCGATGATGAAGCCAAACTAAAATTGCTCAACAGTTTTGTATGGCCCGAAGTACGACGATTATTACAATTAGAAATTGATCAAATGAAAACAAAATATCGGGTTATCGTATTGGAAATTGCTCTTTTAATAGAAAATTATCGAATGGATCAAGTACATCAAGTATGGTTAACAATATTAAATCAAAAAGAAGTTGTACGAAGATTAATGGAACGTAATCAGCTTAGTGAATCGGATGCATTGAAAAGAATTGAAAAAATAATGCCATGTAAACAAAAAATGCCATATGCAAATGTTATATTCTGTACACAATGGGAAGAAGAATTTACAATGGAACAAGTGAAACGTGCATGGAAAATGTTGAATGAACAATTTGTTAAATAATCAATAATTTTGATGCGCAATATTTAAATATTTAAACATTTTATTTTATAAATCTTTTCAACTGTTGTTTTATTAAAATATAAATAAATATGAATTGTTTGATCACATTAAAAAATGAGAATCAACAATTATCTCATCGGCCACGACGTCCACGTTTATTATTTGAATTTTTTTTACCATTCGAATTTTTACTATCAATTGGTCGTTTATTAGGACTATTCGATGATGATGGCATCATTTTGAAAAATGTATCGATTCGCGTTTGTGCACCTTTCTGTTTTGATTCTCGTGCACGTTTCAATGATTTTCGTACACGATCTTCATTGAAACCATTTTCAATGCAAAGAAATTGTATCATACCTTCTTCATCGATATCTTTCATTTTTAAATCATTTTCAGTAATTTCATTTACAATAACCAATGGTTGTTGAAATAATTTTCGTGCACCACGAAATGGCCAATTTTCCGGTACCATTTGTTTTTTATTTGTTTTACCTTTTTTTGGTGAATCATTTTGTTCCATCAAATCTTCATCACCATTATCATCATTATTTTTATCTTCATTTTCATCCTGATCAGAATCGTTATTGTTGAATTTGGAAGCAAATTCATCATCTTCTGCAATATCATTTTCTTGTTTGATTTCGTCAGAAATTTCCATTTTCGGAACAGATTGTTGTTCTTCGACGTTACCATTTTTCTTTACTTCATCATTGTTTTCTTCTTCTTCTTCCTTTTTCGGTTCGATTTTTCGATTACTGTATTCAATTTCAACATCTACATATTCTTCGATACCGAATTTATTTTTCAATATACCTTCAATTGAATCGAATTTTCGTATTAAATCAAGACCTTTTTTACCACCAATACCACGAATATTTGAACAATAATCACAACCCATTAAAATGCTTAAATCTATAAATTGATCTTGGCTAATATCTAAACCGGTAAGAACTTTACCGATTTGATATTCTTTTACTTTTTCATTCTGACCGGAGGTTAAATTTCGTATCAAACGAGGACAACCAAATGTTAATGCATCCATATCTTCAGTTGCAGCAGCATATACAAGATTTTCTTTACATAATTGAGCACATTGAGCTTCAGCTTCAGATGGTGCCTGAACAATTGGTATGCCCAACAATTGTAATAATCGTTTACAATCATCCGAATGTTTTCTAGTTACTTTCACTAATCGTTTATTAAGTTTTTCAATATCTTCAACATTTTGTAATTCTTTTGCTTCCTCTAATTTATCTTTAGCTTCGGTACGACGTTCAGCACGTTTTTCCAATTCACCGCATTTAAGTTTCGGTGCTTTACCATCAAAAACATAAACTGGTTTGATTCCAGTCTAATATAGATAATTGATTATATAAAATTTGAATCATTTTCAAATAAACAACAACAATCATACCTCAAGCAATTTGATTGTTCGATAAAATAAACCGACCAAATGTGAAGTAGTTTCACCTTGCTCATTGGTCATCATATATTCACTACTACGAATGGCAATTAAAAATTGATAGATACACATTGAAGCATCGATTGCAATACGGCGACCAAACAATGATTTTAATTCAATCTCTTTAATTGCTTCCGGTGCTACATCGGCTATCAAACGAGAAAGACCAAGAATACCCATTTTGTTTAGTTTTTTTTTGTTTCTTCAAATTTTTCAAATAAATTCAACAAGCATGAAAAAATCGACAAACAAACAAAAAAGAGCGCGCCGTAAAGAAATTTAACTTCATTCAAATAAAATGTTACTTATTATTTTTTTTTGTTCAAATAAAATTCATCAATTGACGAAATATTTTAAAACTTAATTTCAATATTTTCGCGCGATTTTTTATCTATTAATGATCTACTTTTCTTATTTCTTTTTAGATTTTTTCGACACAGATTTTGATGATGCCGAAGATTTTGATTTTGACTTGGACGAAGCTGCCGATTTTGATGTCGACTTTGTCGAAGATTTTGATGATGCGCCACTCGCACTTTCGCTTCCACTTTCGGCACCACTATCTTCTCCGCTTGTTGATCCTGATTTGGAAGAAGCTCCGGATTTAGATTTTGACTTAGACGAAGCACCGGATTTCGATGATGATTTTGACGAAGCTCCGGATTTCGAGGATGAGCCAGAGGCTGAATTACATTCACTTGATTCAGATCCGTCTTCTGACTCTTCTCCACTTTCCGCTCCTGATTTTGACTTAGAAGAAGCTCCGGATTTTGATGATGACTTTGACGAAGCTCCAGATTTCGATGATGACTTCGAGGATGCTCCGGATTTCGAGGATGAACCAGAGGCTGAATCACTTTCACCTGATTCAGAATCGCTTCCCGACTCTTCCCCACTTTCCGCTCCGGATTTCGATGATGACTTCGAGGACGCTCCGGATTTTGACGATGACTTGGACGAAGCTCCGGATTTCGATGATGACTTTGATGATGCTCCAGATTTCGATGATGAACCCGAGGTTGAATCACTTTCACCTGATTCAGAATCGCTTCCAGACTCTTCCCCACTTTCCGCACCGGATTTCGATGATGACTTCGAGGACGCTCCGGATTTGGATGATGACTTGGACGAAGCTCCCGATTTCGATGATGACTTTGATGATGCTCCAGATTTCGAGGATGAACCAGAGGTTGAATCACTTTCACTTGATTCAGAATCGCTTCCCGACTCTTCTCCACTTTCCGCTCCGGATTTCGATGAGGACTTGGACGAAGCTCCGGATTTTGATGATGACTTTGACGAAGCTCCAGATTTTGATTTTGATTTGCTTGACATTGATTTAGATTTTGATGACATAGATTTTTTCGATGATGCTGTTGAATTAAATCCAGATACTCGACCAAATATATTTGATTTGCCAAAATCAGCACCTTTACCTTTTGCACCTCCTGCAGGTGCATTTTTATCAACAATCATTTTCATTTTAGTCTTCCCATTGAAAATTAGATTTATGATCAATAATATTATAATAACAAAATCATTCAAATTCATTAATACTTACTTTTTTAGCTTCAGCTAACCATGCACTTTTTTCAATAAAACCAATTGGCATTCTTTCTTCTGCATTTGCTTTCAATATTGCTTTCAATAAATCTTTACCACTTGCTGCTACTGTTAATTTATCAACATTATCAGCAATTTCTTTTTCCAGATCATCAGATTTTGAACCAACATTATATGGATATTCTTTTGATATCATAAAAAAAACAACAGCACCAAATGACCATGTATCGGCTTTGATTGGATCAAATTCTTCTTTTGATGGATCACCATATATTTCTGGTGCCTGATAATTTTTATTATTTTGATTTTCTTTCGGTTCACATGGTGTATAGATAACATCATTTTCGGATACATCCCAATAAATGATTGCTTTACGAAAATTAGTTATTTTAATAAAATTATCTTTTTGTGCTGGTCTTAATAATATATTGATTGGTTGTATATCACGATGTGCAATACCAATATCACCAAGAAAATCCATACCCTTTAATAATTGAAATGCATATAATGAAATTTGTTTTTCATTCAATGTTTCTTTCTGTACAAATTGTTCTAAATTACCAACTGAACATGCTTCTTGAAATATTTCAATATTATTATCACCATTAACAAATAAATCCCATGTTGCAAGTATTGATTGATGTTTTTTACCTAAATGTCTTAATATTCTTAAATATAATGAATTTGGATCAATACCGGCTTTTGAATCATATACTGTACAACCAAGTGGTTGACCAGGATATTCACTATTTTGTGCTTCAAAATATTGTGAATCATCATCTTTTGAAACAACTTTTGCTTTATCATAGGTAAATTTTTCATAATTAGGATTATTATCAATCGGTAATGCTCCTTTTGTTTTGTTAAGATTTTCAATTTCAGCTTTTAATAAATTTCTCATAAACATTAATTTTCTTAGATCAATATTTGTTTTATATTTTGATGTTATACTTGCATCCGGATCTTTTGATGTCATTTTTTCTGTTTTTTTATTCGAAATAGCAACCGTTCGTAATACTTTATCTTTTTTTGAACTTTTCGAACCAGATTGTGAATCGGATGGTGAATCCGATATACTTGTTGCCATTTGATGATCAAAATAAGGCATAATTAAAATAAGGATTAATTAATTGATTAATTGATGATACAAAAAAGAAAGAATGAGAATAAAAAAAACAAAAGTAATCAATCAATATTTTTGTTTTGCCGAAAAATAACTAAAACTAACTATAGTTTGGTTTGGATACAATTTTAGTAAAAAATATTTCCATTTTTATATAGCCAGTTACCGAAGCCAAAAAAAAATTCAAAAAATTCAAAAATATAATTAACATTTTAATTTAATTTTACGGTAGATGGCATATACTTCGGCAAAGTTAATGGCCAATTATAATAATCATCATCATTTTTTTGGGGCTTAACCGAGCCATCAAAAATGAAAACACTGTATGACCACCACCACCACCACCACCGCCGACGGATGATGATCGATGGCTCAATTATTATTATTATTATTTTACAACCCAATCCGTCTGATGTTGTTATTCTGCTTACCGATGAATTGAATATTTCATTCATTCATTCGCATACACCAGCAAGAGAGTAACCAAAAAAACAGGATTTTTCTTCTTTTCTTCATTCTATTGTTTAATGATGATGAAATATACATTCATTTGAACAAGAACAGAAAAGAAGAAAAATGTTGCTTTGATGTTACACAACAACCAAGAAACAAAACAAAACGAAAATAATGATAATAATCAACAACAAAATTATATGAGAAAAAAAAAGGCCAAAAAAGAATTTCGTTCATTCATACGAATGGAATGTTACCACACAAAAAAAAATGTTCATCAAACAACATGATGATGATGAAAATCATTTATTAAATCAATTGATTGATTGATCGATCAAACAAAAAAAAAGAGATTAATTTCCTGTTGTGTTTATTGCCATGACTAATTTGTTTTTTTTGTGATCATTTTGTTTCTTTGTTTTTTTTTTTCAAAAATATGATATCCAAAATAGAAACATTTCCGATTATGAATTGTTCAATTGTTGTGTGTTTGAGTGATCAGTATTAAAAAAAAAAATGAAAATTATGTAATTGTGAATCATGAAATTCAAATCAGATTTAAATTAAATTTGTTAATTATTTTTAAATCATTATTGTTAATGTAATTCTTTATAATTTTTATATAATAATAAATAATAATGATCAATAATAGTAATACTCAACAAAATTCTACAACAACAACAACAACAACTACAACTAATCAACAACAACAACCATGGATGAATATGCCGATTACATTACGAACAAATCAGATTTTGTTTGAAAATCGTGATGTACAACGTGCTGGTAAGTTTTTTGTTTTGTTTTGTTTTGTTTTGGTTTATCAATTATTCAATGAATAATGTATGTGTTCTATTAAAGGTTGGCTAAAATATATACCGTTTGCGGAAAAATATTCATCATCCGATGATCATAAATTCTGGGTTGTATTCGCTGTTTATGGATCTCAAACACCGTATCTAGAATTCTATCAAAAAAGACAATCAAATCATCAACAACAACAACCACAATCGGATGGACCGGTATCGAAACATTCATTATTAAATTGTCGCCATATAAACGCTGTGATCGAAACAAATTCTGATGAAAGGCATAATGAATTTTCAATAACATTATCAACACATGTGATACGTTTGGCTGCTGATACTGATGAAGTTATGTGGGATTGGATTGGTTCATTACGAACAAAATTGATTGAAATGAAAATTCTACAACCGACAGAAAATTTCTATTCAAAAAGTCCAATATTACCTCCTCGACGGCCAATAATTAATAATTCTGATACTCAAAATATAGTTCAAAATTCATCGGATGAACTTTATGAACCAATATTCAATATAACCAATGAAATTCAACGAATGTCAATGAATCAAAATTCGACAATGATGATAATGCCAGCTGATGAAGGTCCACCACCTTATGAATGTATTTTTACTAATAATCCAACAACATCGCATAATATAAATCAATCGGGTAATGGTGGAATTGTTCATCGACCATCATTTCGTGAAATGCAAGTTGAAAAATTTCAAAAAGAAATGCAACAATTAAATGGTGTTACATTGAAAGTTAGAAAAAAAGATTGTTACAATGCAATTGCATTTGTTGATATTGAACCATATGGTATATTTATTGCCGGTTGGAAACAACGTGATCATCCTTATCTACATAATACTTTTCATATTGGTGATCAATTGATTAGTATCAATGAAATGACAATTGAATCGGCACAACAAGCTAAACAATTTATTAAACAATCAACAACAAATTTAGATTTTATTATACGTCGTGTACCATTTGGACAAATATATTGTCTTAAACGTTTATTTGATGGTGAAGATTTAGGATTGATACGTGAAAAAGGTACAGCCCGAATAATACGTGTAATGGAAAAAAGTGTTGCTGAACGTTGTGGTTTTGATTCTCATTGTCATTATTATCCGGGTAATAATGATGATAATGGTGGTGGTAGAATTATTGAATCACCATCATCAACAACAATGAATATAAACGATCAACAGAATTGGTTTATAACCGAAATCAATAATCGTCCATTGAATTTATTTTTTAAAAATAATGAAATTGAAAGCCGTTTGAATGCTATTGGTAAAGAGATATCCATCTTAGTACAACCATTTGGTTTTATTAAACGATTAAAACGACAATTAAAATTATTTAAACATTATAAAGATTATATTGTGCAATGAGAGACAAAATGTTATAAAAAAAATTGAATAAAAGTTAAAAATTTTTTATTATCATTTTTTTAAAAGTAATTAATTTTTCAGGGAAATACAATAATAATAATAATGTTTTTTGATGTTTTTGTTTTTTAAAATTTAAATTTTTTTTGGTGGGTAAAATGAAATCATACCGCGGTTTACGTAATTGATGATTGGTTGATGAAAAACGGGAAAAAAAGGATTTGGATGGTGGTGGTGGTGGTGGTGGTGGTGGTGTTAATGGTGATGGTGAACCATAACTGTTTTTTTTTTTGTTCGTAAAACAAATCATCCATTAATCGATCGATCCAATGTTTGGTATTTACATCTGAAATGAGAATGGAAAAAATATTAAGAATTTTTTTTTGAAAATGAAAGTTAAAAAAAACGGGAAAAATTTTTATGTAATGGAAAGGGACAAAAAAACTTTTCAATCATACAAAGAAACTACAATTTAAGGTTTTTTTGCTTGTTTTCGAATCATTCGATTCAAAAAAATGGATGAAATGTTGCATTTTTTTGTTGTTGTCAAATATTATCGATGGACATTGACGTTCTTCGTTCGTTGATCTACCAGAAACCAACATAAATGGTCCATAATAAACCCAACAATAATAATAGAATCAAATAATTTACTATTAAACTTTTTGCTTCTTTTTCTTGCATCTGTTCAACAATAGATGAACGACGACGTTCCGTTCTTCGTTCGGCCATTTTTTGTTGTTATTGTTGTTTGGTTTTGGTTAATTTATGAAAAATTCTATTGTTGCGTAGGTGTGTAAATGATGATTATAATAAATCAATCGATCAAAAATGTGGAATCGGATTAAATAATCTTAAATAATAATAAGATTTATCCGTTTGTTATTAACACAATTCTTTCACAACAAAAAAATATAGATTTTTTGTTTTGTTTTGTTTGTTTGTTTGGTATGGATATATTATAAATCCTCACTACGAAATCAATGTCGAATATAAAAAAGATTCGTTGTTGCGAATATTATACAAAAAAACGAATGTGTTTGTGTTTTTTTGTCACATCAATATCTTCGTCAACATCAATATGGTATGAATTTTTTCCTTCTTTGAAGAATGAAAAAAAGCAACGACTAGATCATCAAAATAGAAAGAATATTCTTGATGATCATCTAGTGGTTTATCCTGAAAAAGTTGTTTAATTCTCTTTCTGTCTCTCTTCATTTCTGTTATTTTTTTCAAGATTTTTTTTTTTACTTCTTTGAACAGATTTTTTTTTTCTCTGGTTTGTCATGGTTTATCATTCTTTTTTCTTGATCCTATCCTCTCTTTTTCTTTCGGATTAATTCACAGTGAAAATTGGAATAAAAATGATAATTATAGCCACAAACACACAATACATGTACACAAAATTTTTTCGTTCTGGCTTGTTTTTTTTCATTGTCCCCTTTTTTTCTCTGTTTTTCTTCACTTTTTTTCTTCACAAATTCTTTGATTCTTTTTAATTATGATGCTATAAGATCAGATCAGTGTGAATGCAATATATAAAAATATATACTTCAACCATGATGATTTACATTTTTTTCTCCTCAAAACATCATTTGTCTTTTTTTACTGCTTCTTAATAGAAGAACAAAAATGTTTTACATATGCCATCATCATCATCATCATCATCATGACGATTCTTTATTTCTTTTTTAAACTTAATTTCGGATTAATGTTTGAACAAATTATGATGATGATGATGGTTGATGGTTGATTATGTTTGTGTTGATGATATTCATTCTTTATTTTTTCATTTCTTAGAAATTTTTTTTTTCTTTCTTCGTAAAATTAGAATGACGAAAAAAAAACCGAAAGAGTAAGAGAAAAGCTAAAAACTATATATAGGAAAAATATTCATAGAATATGGACTAAATAATTTTTTTTTTGTTTCTTTGGTGTGGAAAAATATTTCAATGTCAAATGATAAACATTGATGATTAAATGAAAATGTCAGAAGCATTATAGAATTTTTTTTTTGATGGAAAGTGAGAGAATGTTAATTAACAGATAGGAAACGAATATATTTTTGACTTTTTTAAAAGAAAATATTGATTAAAAATTGATTTTTTAAAAATCAGGAATGAATTGAAAATCTGGAAATCTTTGATATTGAAATTTTTGTTATGGCAAAAAAAAATTTTATAGAATCTAAATTTAGCTTTGATTAATATTATGGTCGATTGATGATAAACAGCAACAACAACAGAAAAAAAATGATGATAATTAACCTAATAATAATAATAATAATAATAATCATCATTGGAGAAGGAGAAGGAGAAAAAAAACTTGATGACGTTGAAACAACAAAAATAATAAAAATGAAAATAAAAATCGGCAAAAACAGAAAAAATTTGTCAGGCAAACAACAACAATGGCAAAATTTTGCCATCAAAATCACGAACATCACGAAAAAGAATGTTAACATTGGAATCGTTTGGGAAAATAATTAGGCAAAATGATTAAGATTTTCGTAATTTTTTTTTTGAAAAATAAAATAAAGAGTACAAATGAAGCACATCCATTATTATTTTTTTCTTGAAAATGATGATAATTGATGATAATCAATGATCCATTCAATGATTTTCGGAATTTTTTTTTAAAGATTCGATTCTATTTTGACATAAATACATGTTTGTTTTTGTTTTTTCGGTGTGTAAATAGTAGTAGATGTAGTTGATCATCATGGTCTAATGATCAACGACAAATGGATGATGATAATGATGAACAACAACAAAAAAAAAGAATAAAACAAACACCGAAATTTAGGTTGAATGAATTCGGAAATATTTTTTCGAAAACCAGCAAAACAAAAACAAAAAAAAACTTACCCCGGTATAAATGATCCATAATATCACTAATAATAAGATAAGAATGATGTAATTTGATATTAAACTTTGACCTTCATGCATTTTTGTGTTTGTTTGTTAGTTTATTTTAGTAAATTTTGATTTCAAAACAAATTTAATTAATTAATTTACAATTTAACAATTTAGATGAACAAACTTTAGTGAAGATTTTTTTGGAAATAAAATTTTTTAAAATAAAAATTCATGAAAACAACCGAAAAAAACTGTCGTATTTTGATTTGTTTTGTTATTCTTTTTTTCAAAATTTCTGTTTTTAAATACTTTTTTACCTCTGTTTATTTATTATTTTAGACAAATTTAAATCTTGTGGGTAGTGTGTGTGTGTGTGTCGGAAGGGGGGAATGGTGGAGATTTAAATATTTTTTTAGGTGAAAATTAAAGTCAAAAAAACGAAAAAACAACAGCAGCAGCAGCGAAAAAAAACGCAAACATGAAATTCTGTATTCCACAAATTCCATGTATTTCTCAATGTTATGGTTGATCTGACATTATCATCATCATCATCGTTATTATTCCGGATTCTGATGACTGAACAATAGATTCATGTCACACCGAGAGAGAGAGAGACAAGTCCAAAATTTGAATGAATTTTTTTTTATTCCAAAAATAACTTTTATTCACAATTCTGTTATTGAATTGAATTCTTGATTTTTTTTTCTTTTGAATTTTAATTTTTTTCAATCAAATCAGAATAAAATGACATACAAAATAATGATTTCAAAATAAAAATGAGGAAAATTAAAATTAAAATCATTTTGACATTGTATAATGTGTGTTTGTGTGTTGTGCGCGAGTGTATAATACAGAATTATTATCATTTTTTCGTTGTTGTTGTCTGAAAATATTCTGTGCAATGAATATGATTGCACTAATTTTATGAATCAGGATTAATGAATGATGATGATGAAGATGAAAAAAAATCCTGGGTTAATTCGGTGATCTTTGAAACCAATGTCTGAATGATGAAATTATTTTGTTTGTTTGTTTGTTTTCACAGAATATAGGAAAAAAAAGATAGAAATTAATTCATCATTTTGGTTAATTTGTCGATACGAAAACCAAAAAAAAAAATCGAGCAAACATAATATTATTAAACTCTTTTAGTTCATGAATGATCATTATTACCATGCAAATATTCATTCAACTAAATCACTAATGAACAAACAAAATCAAAATTAAAAAAATTAAAAAAAAAATTAATGTAAATAAATAAATACCTGGATGGAATAATAAATTTTCTTGAACTAGCCTGTCGTTGTCTCGATAGGAATGTTGTATTTGATGGAAAATTATTCGAATATATACGATCTTCGGCTGCTTTTCGTTGTAGATTGAATGTCTGAAATATTTCAATTGTAAATTCATTAAAAATTTTTTATATCGATGATAAAAAAGAAACAAAGAAACTTACCATTGTATGAAAACTGACCGACATTAATCGTTCTTCAATATCACGGAATGCATTCTTTTGTTCAAAATCTTGACGAATTTTTTCCAATTCAATATCTTTTTCATGACATTGATGACGCCAATATTCAACATCATCAGGTCCTTTTGTTGATGATGAAGTGCCCACACCAGCACCAGCATCTAATGGTAATGATGTACTGGATATTTTTGCATTAATCATATGTGTTTCCAGTATACCATATGTTTCTTTTGCTTTATTTAAATGTTTTTTAAATCGTTCTTCACGTTCGGCTATTTCTTCATTCTTTTTCTCTAACATTGTTTTCAAATTATTATTTTCAATTTGTAATTCTTTTAATTTGGATTTATATTGTGCATTCGTATTACTACCGCCATTACCATTATCCATTTCAATCATTAAATCGGGTAATTCTTTTAAACGTCCTTCTAATTCAATAATTTTCTGTGAATTTAAACGATTTTCTTTTTCCAATTTGGCGACTCTATTTTTTTCATCATCAAGTTGTGATTCAAGTAAACGTATACGTTCATCATTAGAATTTTTCAATTCTTTTCTTAGTTTTTCATTTTCATATTCTAAACGAATAATTTTTTCATTTTCATTTGCCAAATTTTTTCTATCATTATTATTATTATTATTATTATTCACATTTGATATTAAATTATTTCTTGTATTGTATAAATGGTTTGAAGAATTTGTTGCCGTAATTGTTGATAAATCCATATCAATACTTGGACCATTCATCAAACCGGAATCATTATTTCGTTGTAATTGTGTGATTTCCGTACGAATTTTTTCCATTTCTAGTTGCATTTTTTCTTTTTCCTGTACAATATCATTATATTTTTTATATATACGTTTTAATTCATCTTCTATTTTATCGGCACGAAATGTTTCTTCATTTACTTTTGCTCGTAATTCATCACGTTGTTTTTTTATTAAATCTAATTGATTTTTATAAACAGATATTGATTTTTTATCCTCTTCTAATTCACAAATCTGTTTGATTAATGATGCATTACGTTCTTCAATAATTTTCATTTGTTTTTTATATTCATGATATTCTTCTAATTTTTTCTTTTGTATTTCATTAATATTTTTACATTTAATAATTTCTTCATTTAAATATTTTAGTCGATCTAATTCATCACGATCATGTTTAAATTCATTTAATTTTGTTTGCAATTGATCTAATTGTAATAAAATTTTTTGATATTCTTTTTCTTTAATTTCTAATTGTATTTTATAATCTTCTTTTTGTTCTTCCATACGGCTTAATTCTAATTGAGCTGCATTCAATTGACCATTTAATCGTTGAAATAGATTTTCATTTTCAATCGAATCAAATGGTCGTTGATTCGATGATGATCCCCAAATATTTTTCGATAGTTTTTCCGATAATTTTTCATTCTCTTGTTTAAGATTACGTTTTTCATCTTCCAATTTTGCAATGGTAGATTCAAGATCTGAACATCGTTGCATAGCATTTTCTTTCAATACATGTACCATTGATAATTCTTCTCGTATTCGATTAAATTCTTCAATCGTATGTTGACGATCAATAGGAAAATTCACATCCGATGTAAATTGTAACGATTGATTGGATGTAATTCCAGCATTAGTATTTTCTTCAAAATTTTCCAATTCATCAATAGCAATTTTTAATGCCTGTTTGACCTGCAGACTTAATGTGGTCATAATTTCAATGTGTTTTTCTTTATTAACACAATTAATGGCACAACCTAATATCAATTGAAGTAATTTGCCTAAACTAGCAAGATTATAATCACGTGCTATTGCTTCTAAATCTGGTTGTAATTTATCTGGTACTGTACGATCCAAAACTTCACCATAATAATCAACAATACGAAGATAAATACGTCGAAGATTCGATACACGAAGAAACCAATTGTTTCCACATTCATTTTCTATTTTAGATAATATTTCAGTGGAAAAATATTCCGGTGCACTATATATTTTCGAAAATGGAATCATAGTCAAAAAAAAGTCTAACTCCCAAAATCCAATGAAATACTTACATTTGAACTAAGGCATGAGTAATGGCTACACCATCACAAAGATCTTGTGGTTTTTCACATTTACCTTTTAGATCAAAAGTTTTGAGCTATATTTAAATCGTACAATTGAGAAAAAAACAATGGATTATTTTCATTTTTTTCATCAAAAGAATCAAATTACCCATTGGAAAAGACAAATGGTTAGATCCATTTTTTTGCAAATAATTAATCGTTTTTTTAAAAATCAAGATTATATCACACAACTATAATGATGGACGATATACCGTCAGAATTTTACAAAAAAAAATTGCACATAATTTGTAATTATTTTTATAAATTTTTATAAATATAAACGGATCGACGCGTCGATCTGTTGAGCATTTGTCTGTTTGTTTTGACAATGAAACAGATTTTTTTTTCGGGTATTCGATATCCATTGTGATCCATATGATCCTTTTCGGTTGATATAGGAATATTGGATAAAATTGACATACATTCGATTGAAGCATGATCAATGATATTCAGTTGTGTGATAATGTTTCATTGATTATTATCAATTAACCAAAATCAAATTATTTGCTGATTAGAAAATCAAATATATATTGAAAATCATTTCCAATTTCAACAATATTATCATTGGTTTTATTTTTGACTTTGTTTCTATCTAAATTTGTTTGATTGAATTACTTGAACAAATAAAATGTCTTCATCAACAGTTGGTAAAGTTAGTGTGTAGAATTTTTCTTTTTTTTTAAAAAATAAATTCTATAAATTGTAATTTATTGATTATATTTTGCATTGATAGGATATTGAATGTTATGCTGCCGTTGCATGGGAAGCTAAAAAACCTTTATCGATCGAAAAGGTTACTGTTGCACCACCCAAAGCTGGCGAAGTTCGTGTTCGCATTGATTTTACCGGTGTTTGTCATACAGATCAATATACATTAAGTGGTATCGATCCAGAAGGATTATTTCCATGTATTTTAGGCCATGAAGGTGCCGGTATTGTCGAAAGTATTGGTGAAGGTGTAACATCGGTAAAACCCGGTGATACAGTTATTCCATGTTATATTCCTCAATGTGATGATTGTAAATTTTGTCGAAGCTCAAAAACTAATCTTTGTTCAAAGATTCGTAATACTCAAGGTAAAGGTGTTATGCCTGATGGAACATCTCGTTTTACTTGCAATGGTAAAACTCTTTATCATTTTATGGGTGTATCAACATTCAGCCAATACACTGTTGTGGCTGAAATTTCATTGGCCAAAATTAATCCTAAAGCACAATTAAAAAGTGTTTGTCTGTTGGGTTGTGGTGTAAGTTATTTAAATGTGGTTTTATCCAATTTGCAGTCTTAATTTGCTATTTTTGTTCCAGATTTCCACCGGATATGGAGCTGCATTGAATTCGGCAAACGTTGAAAAAGATTCAACAGTGGCCGTTTTTGGATTGGGTACAGTTGGTTTGGCTGCAATTTTTGGTGCTAAAAAACGAGGTGCAAGAGAAATCATCGGTATCGATATTAATCCTAAAAAAGAAGTTAATGCAAAAAAATTTGGTTCAACTCGTTTTGTAAATCCAAAAGATTATCCCGATCGACCAATACAAGATGTTTTAATCGAAATGACTGATGGTGGATTGGATTATACATTCGAATGTGTGGGCAATGTTCATTTGATGCGTTCGGCATTGGAAGCTTGTCATAAAGGTTGGGGTACATCAGTCATTATTGGTGTTGCCGGTAGTGGACAAGAAATCAGTACAAGACCATTTCAATTGGTTACTGGTCGTGTATGGAAAGGTTCTGCATTTGGTGGATGGAAATCACGACAATCTGTACCAAAATTAGTTGAAGAATATATGAATGGTGAATTAATGGTCGATGAACATATTACACATTCAGTTGGTTTAAATGACATAAACAAAGCATTCGATCTGATGCATTCGGGTGAATCATTACGAGTGGTCGTCGATCTTTCAAAATTGTAATTTTTTTTGGCTTGTTTGCTTATTTGTTTGTTTTTTATATTTTCTTTTTTTATTCTATCCAACACATTCAAATCTACCAACAACAGTACAATTGTAAAGTGATAATAGAAAAAAAACCAACCAAAGTGCACAATGTAGAGAAAATTATAGCGCATATATGCGCGATAATCAATCAAAATCAATAAAATGAATCTTGTGAAATTCTTTTTTCTATTCCATTAACACATAATTTGATATAGTAAACATGTTTTGAAGAAGAAGAAAAAAAAGAAGAAAATACCAGAATATCACACAAAATGATTGAATCTGAAATGATTTTTTTTCCCTTCTTTCTTTCACTGTCTTTCACTTGTCATTATATCAGTGTTGTTGTTGTTGTTTCAATGTTTCGAAATAATTTTCTGTTTATTTTCAAAAGAAAAAAAAAGAAACAGGCAAATTAAATTTTCATTCCATTCATTCATTCTTGATAATGATCATTGACAACATTGGAACAAAAAAAGATTATTCGACAGATTTGTTTATTTGTTTGTTTGTCTGTCGGTTGTTGTTGTTGTTGGTTTTTTTTCGTTCGGTATTTTGAGTGTTGGTAACATCATCAACGAGAATCGTAATTGAAATAAATTTCTTTGGTATTTGTTCGGTTAATGTCTATATGATGATGATGATGATGACAGGAAATTGTAAACAGAGTGAAAAGAAAAAAACTTTCACAATATGATTGGAAAAATCAGAAATCAAGTTTTGTGGAAATGTTTCTGTTCTTTCTTTTTGTTTGTTTTGTTTTGTTTTGTTTTGTTTAATCGATTTCAGATCGAAAAGATTAGAATAAAACTGAAAAGAAATTTGCATCCTTTTTTTTTGTTGATCTTTGATCGAATAAAATGTTTTCCGGAAATAATTAACGACGGTGAAGCGAGAATGTTTCTGGAAAAATTGTTCCAAAATTTCACAATCAAATGTTTCACAAAGTCAATTTATCATATATATGGGATAGTTTACATAATCAGTTTGAATCATTGAATGAGTCTTTTTTTTCAATGCATCAGCATAATGATGATCATATCATCATTACGATTCTTGATTAATTTTTCTATTTATTCAAGACAAAAATCCATAGAAATTAAATGTCGAACAAAACGAAGTGTTATATAAAAACAAAATCAAGAGATAAACGAAACAAAAAAAAAATCTAATTAAATTAAAATGGAAAAATAATTATTTCTAATGAACAACGCTCGATTATATCAAAATGTCTTCAAAAAAAAAGTTTTTGATCCAATGATGTTTTCTGCTTTCAAATATATATTTTTTTTTTCTGGCTTTTGGATATTCATTAATGTTTATAAATGATAAATAAATGATGAATGACTTTGAAGATGATGAAGAAAAGTTTTTGTAGAGAGAGAAAAATACAAGCATCGTCTTTCTTGATTCAAAATTGTAATTCGATTTCATTTATGATTCGAAAAACAAAAAAAAATTGGTGAATTCTTTTCTATAGACACCCAAACAGGAAACAATGATGAAATAGGATCATTCGATCTTTGATACTCACTCGATTTACGAAAAATGATTGATTAGATTTTTCGTTTCTCTTTATATTTAACCGAAAATTTTCTACTTTCATTCCATTTTCATATTCACTTTTCACGATATTGATTTTCACTCTTTTTCTTACACCAAAAAAAACTTATCTATTTCCAATTCACAATAAACTCAATTCTACAAACCGTTTTTCCTTCATCGTTCACACACCAACGCAAATGTGTTTTCTCAATAAGTAAATTATCGAATAAATTTCTTGATCCAAGAACCAAATACAAAGTTAATAATGATCAACCACCATCAGCAGCCTAAAATCAAATAAATAAATCAGATCAAATCAATTTTTTTGTTTTTGTTTCTCTCTACATCTCTCGAAAATGATGAATCGATCCGAATGAAAAATAATTTTCAAAATTCTAAGCCACCATCACTTTAACTCTTGAATTTTTATGAGAAAATTGCTCAAATCAATCAAAACTACCATAAACAATAAAGCCAACGAAACAATGAAAAAAAATTCTGAAAAAAAAATTAAGAAAAGAAACATCACCAAGCAACAAAAACAAAATCTAAAACAATTTCATGAATTTACTCGCTCGGATAAAGAAAAGAATCCAATATGCCTAACCTTCTATTGTCAAAATAGTTGATGGAAATCATGTCAAAATTGTTTTGTTTTGTTCTGTTGTTCGAAAAGGTTGATGATTCCTTTTTTTGTTCCAAACTTGGTTGTATGTGTCATTCTGGACCTCATTTAATTCAATGAAGTGTGTGTGTGTGTGTGTGTTCCATTTATTGAATTAGTTACAAAAAACAACAGCAGAAAAATGTTTGAAAAAAACAACAACATATTCTATTCATTCGAATTTCTATTCATTTTTTTTTTGCTTCATTGTTTTCATTGTCAAGAATATTCTGAAGCCTATTCTCTCTCCCTCTCTCTCCTTGTCCTTTGTTCTGCCTGGTCAACACCATTCATGATCCAATATCAACCAAACAGCAGCCAGCAGTTTTATTGTTACAGAATATTCTCTTATTATCATTATTATTACCTATTCTATTGAGAATTGTTCGAATGAAAATTGCATTTTGAAGAATTTGGGGTGAATTGAACGAAAACCTTTTAATACATAACACAATAGAGAATCTGATTAGATAAATTTGCAAAACGAACAACGAACCAAAAAAAAAAAAAAGAAAAATTGGAAATGTGAAAAGCAAAAAAAAATTCTAATTCCAAGTTAATTTGTAATAAAAACTTTGAATTCGGAATTTCGTTTTTGTTGTTGTTGTTGTTGTTATTCCTTACGGAATTGATGATAATAATGCAGGTGTTTTAGATGATGTTTCTTTGTTTCTTTGTTTCATTTCATTTTACCTTTTGCAATGTTCACTTGAAATCATTGGTTTCCTCCAAACATACATCCTCTTTTCATTTGTCAACTTCACCTGTTTTCTGCCTTGGTTGGTTTTGGATGATGATTTTTTTCTTTTTTTGATTATAATAATAAATCTATCCAGGTGCAAAATTTTGAATTCCATTTCAAGTTGAAATCAAAAAATAAATCAAAGTTTCAATCGAATTAAGCGAACAAAAAAAAATCAAATTAGAAATTTTATTTTTTTTTCTTTCTTCGCGAATTTCTCATTTTGCATCTTGGAATTTGAATTAAAAGTTTTTTCTTTTGTATTTGATGGTCGAAGAAGAAGAAAATTTATTCAGAAAACTTATTTGATTGAATGTCAAATGTTTATGATTGGTTTTTTTTCTGCTGTAAATCATTGAATCGATCAATTCAATAAAGTTTTGTTGAATCGAATTGGAAATGGAAATCATGAATGTATAATTTCGGGGAAAATTTCTTGGCCAAAAAAAATTGAAATTCCGGGAAATATTCTCAAAATTAATCAAGAAAACGGAATAAGGTTAACAATGTCAAATCAGATCTGAGAGAAAAAAAACCGAAACAAAAATCGATTAATATTGAAAGGATTAGCAGATTGATTGATTGATAATCAATAATTTTTATTTTGTGGATTTTGTGGAAACAATTTCAGTTTCAGTTCAAAGTGTGTGCTTCAACGAATATCGAAATCGATTCATTTTTTTTTTCTTCTTACAATTGAATTAAAGTGAAACTGAAATTCACTGAACAAAAAAATCTTATGAACTTAATCTTTTTCCACTATCATCTTCTTCATCTTCGTTTTTTTGTTGTTGTTGTTGGTAAATCTTCTCATTGAAAAGAAAATTAATCTGAACAAATTAGATGTTGTTGTTGTTGTCCAAGAATGAAAAAATGGATCTATCTTATCTAAGCGGGCATTGTTGTTGTTGGCCTGAATCAACAACAACAACGGGAAAAAAATCTGATGATTCCATGGTTAGTGGGATATACTAGTGGTTCAAAGAAGAAAAAAAAATTCCAGGTTTTCGTAGTTTCTCGTTGTTTATTTTGGGTTTTTTGCTTTGCTTTGCTTTGCTTTTTCAGTTTATATCCAAAATAAAGAGAAACGAAGAATCCTGAATGAAAAAAAGAATCGTAAAGAATATTCGGCCGCCCATATTTTCACTGAATGACTGACTGACGATATGATGAAGAAAAAAAAACGCGCGCACACATTTTATCAAGAAAAAATTCTCTATCAGAATTTATTCATTTCATTTCATTCATTCATTCAGAATACTTACAGTGATCTTGTTCTTGTCAAATTTCATCGAAATTCCTGATCATTTTCAAACAACAACAACATTAACGGTAAACGAAAAAAAAATCATTTACAACAAAATCATATTTTGAATATTGTGAATATTTTTTCATTAATAAAATTGATTATTTTCGCTGATTATTTTTGTTGTTCTTCTTCACCAGACACCGAAGTGTTAAATAAAAGTAAAAGGCATATCAATATTTTCATTTATTGGGAGAAAAATATCAATTTTTTCCGCACCATAATTGGTCAGAATAATTGGAAAATTTCCATTTCAATTTCTTTCATCATCTTAATTTTTTTTGCACCTTTAAGTCAAATTTCTGTCGATCACTAAAATTATCATTTTCTGTCAAATTGAAGCCAAAAAGAAAAGAAAAGAAACGAGAAAATGTCATCAAATATTCAAAGTAGTAATAAAAACACCAATAATATTGGCGATAATTTTATGCGACAATTTCGTGATAAAAATACACGTCAATTGAAAAATTTAACATCAACACAATTTATGGAAGTTTGGAGCCATTATGATCATGATGGTAAGTCGTTGTTGTTGATGATGATTTAAGATATTAAAAGAAAAGAAAAGAAAATGAGAAAATGAGAAACGAAAACGCTATCATTTTATTGTTTGAAATTCTTCAATTCTTTCATTGAATTCAACACTGCAAATAAGTCAAATTATTATTATCTTTCGGAATAATGAATTAAGAATAATTAAACTTGAAGAAGAAAAAGAAGAATATTCTGGCTTATTATGATCCAGAATAATATTTTGATGAATTTTCTTTCATTCTTTCTTTAATCCTGTTATAGAATCAAACGTGAATTGTTTCTTTTCTTCACTTCACAAAGATCTAATTAAGATGCACCAAAAGCCTTTCGTTTAACTCTTTCGTTCTCTTTCTTTCTTTCTTATATATAACTATTGATTCGGTTGATGATGATGATAATCTTAAATAACAATAATATCATAAAAATTTATTAAAGTGAAATATTAGGGAAAGAGAGAGAAAAGTGTTATTTCATATTTTATTGCAAATTGTTAAGCTGCTTAACAAAAATGATTTTAATGATTTAAAAAGCAAAATTTTGCTTCTCTCTCTTTTTGCACTGTATTTTGGTATATTTTTTTTCCAGGTGCACTGCTGTTGTTTTTCTGCATTTTAAATTTTAAACCAATTCAGCTGTCGCCAAGTTATTTTTACCTTTTTTAAAAAGGGAAAAAAATTGACAATAGCCAGGATATTGCCAAAACCAACAACAATAGTTAGTGTCGAAATAGTGTTGATTTAAAAAGCAAAAAAATTTTAATTAAAACTTTTTTGTTTTGTTTTGTTTTTCCTATCTCATTGTTGGACACATTTGCATAAACTATTTTTTCCCAATGGAATCCATTTTCAAATCATCAATTTTTTTTTTGCATTGACCATTTCCACCCAATTGACCATTTCGAATGTTGTTATCGTATCTCTTCGACAAACACAAACAAAATTTATTCGATTTCGCTTTTGTTTTGTTTTGTTTTTGGGTTTGAATTTAAATGATAATCAATGAATAAACACAGTAGAAATCAAAAACCAAAAAAACAAAACCAGAAATAATATGTTCTGAATATAAATTAGACAATGAAGAATAGTGTCTGTGTTTGAATCAGAAATAAAAACGATTGAATATATTTGATCTGTGATTCGGTGTTGAAATATTCTGAAAGATTTCAAAATTCTATTTGATTTCTGTTTGTGTGTTTTCATATATGTGGATGTCCATTGGTCATTAGTATTCATATCGAATACGTGAAAAATTCCTTTTGCCTTTTGTTATTGATGTTAATGTTTTTCTTAGTTTTTCAAGCAAACAAACAAAAAAAATCATCAAACAAATTTGAAAAATGAAAATTTTATCAATTTTTCTCTGGCAAAAAACAGACCCAGAATTTGAATAAAACAAAAAAAAACAAGAATTTTAATTTTAAAATTTTTTTAATTCAATTCATATAACAATACACACACCAGAGGGTTAAATGATGATGATGATGATGTACATATATTACACCACCATTCACCACCACATACACCCTCTCCTTCCACCTCACCCATTACTTAATCACATTATAATAATTATGATTAAAGTAATTTACTGTCAATNAAAAAACAAGAATTTTAATTTTAAAATTTTTTTAATTCAATTCATATAACAATACACACACCAGAGGGTTAAATGATGATGATGATGATGTACATATATTACACCACCATTCACCACCACATACACCCTCTCCTTCCACCTCACCCATTACTTAATCACATTATAATAATTATGATTAAAGTAATTTACTGTCAATATCACTACTAGCAGCACTACTAGCGGCACTACTAGCAGCACTACTTATTGAACTATTACTAATACCGGATGCACCGGAAGAACTTGGTAAATTACTTTTATTAATTGTTGATGGTGCTTGTGTTTTTGATGGTGCCTGTGTTTTTGATGCTGGCTTTTCCGAAGGTTGTGTTTTTGATGCTAGTGGATCCGATGGTTGTGTTTTTGATGCTAGTGGATCCGATGGTTGTGTTTTTGATGCTAGTGGATCCGATGGTTGTGTTTTTGATGCTAGTGGA